ACTATAATAATTAGTGCCATTAGAATCCACAGGATCACTCTGAAGAATTCAATTAATAATTCATTACTCTGATTCACCGGCCAGTAGGTGGCGCTGGTGTTGAGCCGAGCACAGAAGAGGAAGACTCGTTATTACGGTAAAAGAAAAAGCTGTAGAAACGAAAGTGAAATGTCGATAAACAGAAGTGATCAAATATCGAGTCACACGAGCTGAGTGTTGTATCTTATTCAACATGAACCTTTTGTGTATTTCATTCATTTGATTTATTAAACACTTATTTTCTCCTTTAAAACATCTTCTGTCTATAAAGTCAAATTATATTTCACACAATTGAATTTTCTATCATTAGTCTTTGACATTAAACCTCAGTTCCTGAAGTTTTATTATTTAGTATTTGTGTATTTTAGTTTTTCATGTGTTTGTATGAAAAGTTCGACAAAGATAAATAGAATTTCAGTTTCCCAGTGTAGACACAGGGTGGCAGTAGAGCCTGTACACAGCACATTAATACCACCGTAAGTTTTTAATTATATATCAGTTATATATCTTCATCAATCATCACTCAGACACGAAAGTAAAAGTTCACTCACTTTATATTTAACAAAAAGGAAAAAAATCAGCATTTCATGAGTTACAACAGCTTATGGTGGCCACTGGATGGCGCTGTACATCTGATGCTCTGGTTTACAGCGAAGCAGTCATCGTAGAAAAGAGTGAAACGAACGAGGCGAACCAAATGTTGGTCGTCTCCACAAACATCCTGGCAAAGCACCATGGGATCGAAACGGATGAAGGACATTTCAAAACACGACGACACAAACTTCTGTTTCCTGTTCGAACCTCCGAGAAACCTGGAGACAAAAGTGCTTCTTCTTTATTATAAAACATGAGTCCGCCTGTTTAAAACATTTCTTAAAACCTTTCTACTTTCTTTGACCTTTTTCTCGAACGTTCTTCACAATCTGAACTAAAGTCTCCTTCAGGTCAAAGTTCAGCCACAACGGGAAGAAAGACGTCGACTCAGGAGCGACACCTGGAGGCGTCTGATTCGTCTCATTCCTGTTTCACTTTAACCGAACACGAATTCGCCACGAAGCCTGGAGGAACTTTGCTTTCTGATAAATTATTCCCACAAATGATCAGAAGTGATCAATCAAACCTCGACATGTTTAAGTGTCTGAACCAAGGTCACGACCTCGACGACCTTCCATCAGCACGATGAACGATTTGTATAAAACATTTGATCATTTCGGCTTCTTGCATTAAAAACTTCATTTCTCAAACAATTTTCATGTTTTATATCAGAACTTATAAAGAAAACGTGTCGATGATTCTCTACAGATCAAGTTGAGATCAATCTAAATCACCAGTTTACGGATCCATCAGATTTTTAATTTTACTCCTCAAATATTAAATCAAACTCAAATGACTTAATTTATTCACTAAATTTCTGTTTCACTTTGATTTGATCATTAATCTGAGGGAAGAACTCGGTGGTTTGAGGATTAAACTGAACTCATTCAAAATGCTTCGAGGGAATAATTCAACAAAAACATCTCGTCATCATCTTATTTTAAAAACCTGGAGATCTCAGTCCGACTTCTCTCAGCTTCTTCTTTCCTTTCTTTTTTGTGACCTTAACTTTACACAACTTTACTCCGACCTCAACGTTTTGTACCGGAAATCAGCTAAAAAAGTTCTGTAAAGTGCAGTTAGCGAATGAGAACCTCTCCCAAAATGATTAACTTGACATGAGTGTGTGCGCACAGCCGGCCTGAAAACACACCTGACGTGTGTGTGTGTGTGTGTGTGTGTGTGTGTGTGTGTGTGTGTGTGTGTACCACAGGTAACTCAGCTGGTCGACAGCTGTGGGCAGATGTCAGGACGTGCGGAGGCAGCGGGAGCCGACGTTGTGTCTGAGGCCGGAGACGAACTGAACTTCAGGCTCGTCACTGAGTTTCCGTTCAGATCAGTGACTTTACATTTTTCTAAAGAGTTTCTTTACAATCTGAATTCTCATCAGAACTGAACAAACGTTAACCTTTAAATCTGATTCAATTCAAAATGTTTCCATTCAGAAACAGAATCTTGTGCACAGAAATATTGTCAAGTATTTAAACTGTGTGCATCAGACTCATAAAATGATCTGTAGATAATCTCACTGATTTATTGTAAATCATCAATTTGTCAGATTTCATTTTATGGATCCGTGTCTTTGATCGAGTCTGAAAACATTTAGGTTTTTAAAGTCGGGTGTAATTTTTCTGAACAGCCGCCATTTTGAAATGAAGTCGTAAACACAATCTTTAAGCTGAACAACACAAACTTCATTAATGTGATAAATTAATGTTTCATGACGAACCCTCAGTCGATGTTCCAAACTTTACTGAAATATAAAAGTTCAGGATTCCGTCTCAGGTCTCGTGACGACTTTGTGACTAGGATCAAATTGAAACTGATTTGAACCGACTCGTTTCAGACTCGTGTGGTTTCTCTCGAGATGCATCTGAAGTTTTCGATTGTCGTTAAATTCACGCTGGTGTTTCGTTTCCTCTCAAAACGGACGTCTGGCGTCAGGGACGTGAAAACAATGACGTTTAGACGCTGGAACACATTTTAAAAATATATTTGTCACGAGAAACAAAGAGAAGAAAGATCTGCACAACGTTGTTTCAGCTCTGGTCCCAGATCAGCTCCCGAAGCCTCCACAAGGTAAAAATCTAAGAGTTTTGGCACAAACAGTCCAAACACCGGCTGACGTTACATCAACAGACACTGAAAACCTGGATAAGTTCCTCGACTCGACCGATCGCGGATTGTCGCCGTACGTTTGATTTTCTGTAGAAAAATATAATGATGCAATATAAAAAAAGACGGAATGAAAAGTACTGCAGAGTTCAATGAAAGATTTACAATGATTTTCTATAGAGCTTATAAATACGTTATCTACACAATATGTGGTACAAAAATACTATATAGCATTTAGTGGGCACTGATTCCTCCTCCACGTCACAACGATAAAAAACATGGAGATGAAACTGCTCAGGCACAAGGTCGCGTTCTCGGCGGGAAACGCTGCTTCCCCAACAAAAAACTAAATCCGATGACGACGCAGCTTTGAGTCGTTCAACATCGAAGCCGTCGCAGTCGAGTTTCTCAACGTTTCAGCGACAACAAAAAAAAAGTCAAACATATGCAAACGTTTTGGTTTAAATCTCGTCTGCGTCACGACGACGACGAGTTCCTGGATGTGGGTCACGTGACACAGACGTCGCCGCTGAACGTTTAGTGGGAAGAAGGATTTGTTGGAGGCCTGGAGGCAACACAAGGACACTTCCTGTCCCCGCCGGAGAGGATTTCATCAGAAGAAGTTCTTTGTGTCTCGTGTCCTCTGAGCCTCTGTAGCGCCTCCTGCTGGGAGACGCTGGAGAATAAATATGTGCCTTTTTGTTTTATTGCTTTGACTCGGAACTTTAACGTCTCTGCTCATGACTCACATCCACGCCGTCCTCGCCCGCGTCATGGTTACTGCAGACAAGATGGCTGCTGTGAGGGTGGGGGAGGGGCTCCTGTGGTCTCCTGCCGCCGCCGCGAGATGTTTTGATATTTGGCATCAGATCATTTGAACGCCCCCCCGCTCAGTTTTCGCCGCCTGCTTCTCGTCCTTCAGCGTCGTCCTCTGCGGTTTTTAAGGCAACAGATGTTCGTGATGATTTTAATAAAAACCTTTTCTTAAAAAATTTACAAATTTCTTAATACAAACGTCGATGATGTCATCAGTAAACACTGTATAGAAAATATATAAATATGTTTTTCTCTTTTTGTACAAATGTTCGTCAGCTCCTTTTCTCTTTTTCTCCTGTTTCCTCGCTCGCTCGCTCGCTCAGTCTCTCGTTCCCATTTTTAGCCTCATTTATGCACAATTGCTATTTACAGTGAGGGGGCGGAGCTGTGTGGAGGTGGGTGGGGCAGTAGGGAGGGGGTTAGTGGGGCGTGGCTCACGAGGAGTCCGTGCAGGGCGAAGGCGGCGGCGGGTAGAGGTGGTGCGAGTAGCTGCGCTCGGTGTAAGGCGACGGCGGGCAGCTCTCACAGTTCTCCTCCGCTGACAGGTACTGGCTGCGGGGCGTCGGTGGTGGCGGGAAAGGCTCCGAGTCGTAGTTGAGGTCGCTGGTGTAGCCCTTGGCTGCGGCAGTGGCGCTGGACTTGGGCGGCGCCCGGCGTCCCGGCGTGTAGTCGCTGTCGCACACGTCGGTGCTGCAGGGGGTGGTGGGCGGGGCAAAGTGGCGATAGGTGTAGGGCCGGTAGCTGAGAGACAGAAAGATCAGATGTTCAAATGTTTAACTTTATTAACACAAGTATCTTGACAACAAAGTTTTTAGTTAACAAAAACATTTTACTCTCACGTGGGTACAGACTACTTCCTGGTGATCTGACTTCTCTGTTGGATTGGTTGAGCTTTTAATTGAATTCATTTCTTATTTATAAATCTTCACTACGTCTCCTCTGCTCTTCTTGTATTTTCTCACTTCATCTTTTTCTCTCTGTCTCATTTAAAGCTCTTAATTCACGAGTTACCTGTACGACCGGTGTGTCGACGGACTGTTGGAGGAATAACCGAACTCCATCGTGTACTGAGAGCGAACTGTGGCCGGAGACGGAGGAGGATTCAGGATCTGAAACAGAAAAAGAAATAAACTTCATGTTAAAAATAACAGGCGGGTTATAAGTTCAAAAATGTATAGAATTA